TTCCTTTTCTGTCTGTATATATATATATATATATATTTTTTCTTTGAGACAGAGTCTCGCTCTGTTGCCCAGGCTAGAGTGAGTGCCGTGGCGTCAGCCTCGCTCACAGCAACCTCAGACTCCTGGGCTCAAGCGATCCTCCTGCCTCAGCCTCCCAAGTGGCTGAGACTACAGGCATGTGTCACGATGCCCGGCCGATTTTTTACTATATATTAGTTGGCCAGTAATTTCTTTCTATTTTTAGTAGAGACTCTGGTCTCTGCTCTTGCTCAGGCTGGTCTCGAACTCCTGACTCGAGCATCCTCCCGCTTAGCCTCCCAGAGTGCTGGGATTACAGGCGTGAGCCACCTCGCCCGGCCTGTATATATTTTTTTTCTAGAGGCCTTCCCAGACTGGCCCTTTCCGAAACTGGGAACCACCCCAGCCTCCTCTGCTGACCGCCCTGACTTGAGTGTTCTCCATGGCACGATATTCTGACCTCCGTTAGAGTCCGCTGATTTCCTGGCACCTTGTGTCTCGCTTCTGGAGCGCACCTCCACAAGGGTGGGAGTTTTGCTGCATCCACTAGGGTGCTCAGAAAATATTTGTGGAATGAACCGTTTTAACAGAATTAAAAAAGTAAAACCTAGACTGGCCAAAAAATGTGCATGGACGAGTTCAACATGGAAACAGGCGGGTCTTTTTTGGGGTGTTGGGGTGACGAGTCTTTTTTTTTTCTGTATTTTTCCCCTCTTTGCCATGACATGATTGAATACATAAATATATGTTAGGAAGCCGACCTGGGAGAACCGGCGAGGCCAAAGAGGCAGAATAGTTCCACACTGGAAACTTGGGGTCTCCGGGTGGCTCCCAGCAGGTGCACTACCCGCCCCCCCCGCCCCGACTCTGAGTCTTTGCTGCCCCCCAGTGTCCACACTTGGAACTGCAGTGCCTGGCAGCCCAGGCCGCAGGCAGGAAAGGGGCCCCAGGGTCCAGGAAAGACCTGTTCCCGCTGGAGAGGGACACCTTAGGGCGCCACGGAAACTCTCTCCTCCGCGCGCGAGTGGGCAGGGGGAAAGGCTGCAGGGAGCGAGGGCGTTTGGGCAGGGCGCCCGCGGTGCTGTGTGTTCCCCCGCGGGTTGCTCTGCTGCTCGGAGCCCTTACTCGCCTCTGCAGAGCCTGCTGGCCCGGCACCAGGAAGGCGCCGGTGCAGAGCGCTGGGCGCACTGTGGGGCCTTGGAGCCTGCGTCTGAGTTGAGGGTTCAGGTAGCCGGCCGGGTTGGGTCAGTTGGGTCCGGGGTCGGGGGGTATCGGGAAGGGAGTCCAGAACAGGGAAGGAGCCCTGAGAGGGGCAGGCAGGTGACGCTGCGGGCAGGTGGTGCTCAGACCTGCTTTGGACCGTGGGGGACAGTGGTGGGACGCTCCCCTGAGTGGTCCCGCTCCGGGTGAGGTGGGAGGCTGGGGTGTCTCGTCCATCCCACAACCTCAGTGCAATTCCCAGGAAAACTGACTCAGGATTTGCACAGGAGGGCCCGGCGGGGAGTGTGCATCCCGGCACTCTGGGAGGCCGAGGCAGGAGGATCGCTGCTCGAGGGTCAGGAGTTCGAGACAGCCCTGAGCAAGTGTGAGACCCCCGCCGTCTCTACTAAAAATAGAAAGAAATTAATCAGCCAACTAAAAATCATAAAAAAGTGAGCCGGGCGCGTGGCTCACGCCTGTGATCCCAGCACTCTGGGAGGCCGAGGCGGGAGGATCGCTCGAGGTCAGGAGTTCGAGACCAGCCTGAGCAAGAGCGAGACCGTCTTACTATAAATAAAGAAGAAATTAATCGGCCACTAATATATATAGAAAAAAATGAAGCCGGCATAGGTGCGCGTGCCTGTAGTCCCAGCTACTGGGGAGGCTGAGGCAGGAGGATCGCTTGAGGCCAGGAGTTGGAGGTTGCTGTGAGCGAGGCTGACGCCATGGCACTCTAGCCCGGGTGACAGAGTGAGACTCTGACTCAAAAAAAAAAAACAAAAAAGAATGGCACACAGAGACTGCAGGGCACAGGGTGGGTATGGGGGGGGAGGTCACCCCAGGAAGTCCCGGTGGGAAGGTGCCCTGCAGGGCAGGGGTGGGCAGCTGAGGCCTGGGGCTGCTGAGGGGCCTCTGACAGACTGGGGCATCCAGAGGGGTGTTCCCGCGGCCAGGGAAGGCTACAGGGAGAAGCAGGGCCGCAGTGGGGAGTCCAGCACCCCCCTGGCTGGGGGGCGGGGCCTGCAGGGGGGCGGGTTGGGGGATGGGCGGCCAGCAGCTGGCCCTCTCCCCCAGGCCTGGGACTTCCACAAAATGTCTCCAGTTTTCCAGAATGAGTATCCCAAACCCAGACAGGGTGCGGGAGGCCCTCCATCGGGTGTGGTGTCCCCTCTGCGTGGCTGGTGTGACTCCCTCCCTTGGTGCCTTTCCCAGCCTCGGTTTCCCCTTCTGCAACTCAGGGAGAAGAAATGCTGCCTCTCTGGGGGGGGGAGGGGGCGGCTGGGGGATGTTACAGGATGCAGAAGGTCCCAGGGTTGGCTTGTCTCTGGAGTTCGCTGCTGGGCGGAGGACTCCATGTGTTGGCAGGGAGAGCCACAGAAGGTGCTAGAAGCAGAGCGGTGTGCCCGGCTTGGGTTAAGCGGACGGACGTGGGGGTGGGAGGGGGCAGGTTTGGCTGGAACTCACTGGCCAAGTTCTCCCGTGCCCCTTCTCTTGCCCGGAGTCCCTTGAAGCCCATGACCCCAGGGCTCAGAGGTCACTGAAGTTCAGCTTCAGGTCACTGAAGTCCAGGAAGGCCACACAGCGGGACAGCAGGACAGCCAGGGCTCAAACCCCCCAAACCCGAGCCCACCGGCCTGTGGCTTAAAAACAAAAGCGGAAAAACTCAACCCAGGCCCAGATCCTCCCTGCGGGGGGCCTTCTGCCTGCGGGCACCTGGTCTTGACCTTGGGGCCAAAGCCCCCCATTTTGGAAAGCCCAGACTCCCAAGTTATGGGGCTGCCTCGACGACCCTCCACCAGCTGCCGTGGCTGCCCCCATCCCGGTGTTGTTTGGGTTTTCGTTTTTTATGCGTTGCATTTAGAAAATTACCCATAATTACAGCTTCTGGGAGGAAGCGGGTCTCCGGGCGGCGCAGCCCCCGCTCCCAGCTGCGCCCGCCCCGCGCGCACGCGCCCTCCCGCGCCGCGGTGTCCTCGGGGAGACCGGACCCCGAGGGAGGAGGAGGAGGAGGCCGCCAGCCGAGGACGGGAAGCGTTATTTTGTAACAGTGACAAGTCCAACGGAGACCCGCGCTGAGACTGTCGTCTGGAGGAAGAGCCCAGGGAAGGCTGGGAGGAGGAAGAGGAGGAGGAGGGGGGAAGGGGGGAGGGGGAGGAGGAACTGTTGGCAGGAGGAGCCAGCGGAGGCCAGGGGCCAGAGGAGGAGCGTTCCGGGCGACAGGGGAGGCGGGGAGGTGCGCCTGCAGAGCGCATGGCCGGAGCGGGGTGGAAGCCCCTGTCCGGGTAGCCCCGCGTCCCACGAGCAGAGCCTCCTTGGGGCCCCGCAGGCGCTGCCCTCGACCTGTGCTTGCGGGTGGCGGGGTCAGGCGAGGTCAGGCTCCCGCGTGCTCCCGGCCGTCATCTCCCTCCAGCCACACCTGCGTCCCCCACCGGCACCGCGCGCGAGCCTTTGCGCCGGCCGGGACTGCAGCCCGCACTCTTCGTTTCCAGATCTTTCAGGCCCGCCCCTGTCCCTGGCGAAAACACGTTCCCGCCTCGCCAGGCCCTGTCCTCGCACGGGCGGCGTCGGGGACCCCGACGGGGGGTTCTGCCCCCGCAAGGCGCGCGCCCCGGCCGGGCGTGCGCGCAGCCCGGCCTCCCGTCGCCGCGTGGGCCCCGGACCCTCTCCGTCGCGACTTGCCCGCCGGCGCCCAGGGCTGTGTTTGAAGCCTTGCCGGTTGCCATGAGAACGGAGCGTGTCGCTGCCGCCGCCGCGCCTCCCTCCGCAGCCGGCGGGGCCGCGGCGCCTCCGCCCACTCGGGGAGCCCGCCGACCTCGCGTCGCCGGTCCCGTCCGCCCGGGCCCCTCCGCGGCCCAGCACGTGGCACTCCCTGCAGTCACCCAACGGACGCGCCAGCTCTTGGACTGCCTGTCCTTCCCCATTAGACCCTCTGCTGCTGAGAGGTAGCCGCGTGCCCGGCTGGGTCCCCAAACCGAGCACGGAGCAGGCGCTCCGACACGCGTATCTGCGTGGATGGCACTCACTGGCGCTAGGAACCGGCTCGGAGAGGGCTAGGGACGCGCCCCGGGCACGCAGGATACGGGGCAGCCTCGGCGCTTTGGGAGATGAATGGGGCTGGGGAGGCCGGAGGGGTGTCACACGTGCTGTGTGACTTGGGTGAGCCGCACCCTCTCTGTGCTCGCTGGCGTAGGCGCTGGGGACAGTGGTGGGAGCAGTTATTAGTATGAGGGGTGTCCCTGACGCCGAAACCACGCCCCCGGTGGCCTCTCGGGTCTGGCCGTCGGCAGCCCCATTAGCGCGCAGAGCCCGCCCCTCCTCCCCGCTCCTGCCGGCCCCGGAGGCCCGCGGGGGGAAGCTGGGGGAGGGGCGGCGCGGCTGGACAGGAAGTGGGAAGGGCTGGCGTCCCCCACCCTCGCCGGGGCCCCTCGGGGAGGAGGCGGGGCTGGGGCCGGCCCTGCCCCTCCCTTCCTCTTGGCTGGTCTGGAACCCCGGCGGCCCCCGACTTCCCGCCGGCCAGACGGCTGGGAGTGGGGTTGGGCTGTTGTCCGGTACTGGGGGGGTCCGCCGGCAGCAGGAGAAACCGAGACACACGCGCACGGCACAGGACACGTGAGCGCACAGCTGCACGGCGCGCGTCCCGGAGAGCGCGCGGTCCACCCACGCGCGCACCCGCACGCGCTTGTGTACACCCCCCGATTCTGGGCCACTCGGCCCCGCGCGGCCGCCGCCGCGGACTCGCTGCTGCCACCACGGAGCCGGGGACAGTTGCCCCGACAGCTCCCGTTCCTTGGGTGCCTGCCAAGCCCCCACGCACAGGGACGCCCGCGTGCTTTCACGCGGAAGCCGCTTGTTTGCACACACACATCCTCGCGGGCTTGGGTAGCAGAGAAAAATACCCGCCGCAAACACGTCACAGTCACAAACACCCAGACCCGGAGTCACAGCTGGGTCTCCCCTCCCCAGCCCGCCCGGGCGCACGGCCCACAGGTCCCCTGGACACAGGTCTGCACCCTCCCGGGCACCCTTGCCTCGGTGTCCGCCCCCAGCACACCCCTGAGAAGGCGGGGTGGGGTACCCGCTCCCCGCACCCCAGCCTCCGCAGTGGCAATTGGCAAGTGAGACGCGCGCCCTATTTGCAAGGGCAACGCCGAGGCTGAGCCGGTGGCGCCTGCGGTCGCCCAGGGGTTAGGTGGGTCGGTGCGGGGTGGCTCCCAGGACTTGGGCACCCCTTCCCATGCGTGGCCGCGGGCGGTTTGCTGTGCGCGTCCACAGGCCTTGGGACCGTGGGGCCCCGGGGGCGTGTGTCCCGGGGTGGCCGCGAGCGCGTGGGCTCTGTTGGCCGCTGTCGGAAGCTGTGGCGTGGCCTCGCGGAGGCGTGTGTCCGCGCGCCTGTGTGCCCACGACGCGCGCGGTGGCCCGTGGCCAGTGGTTCGGTGACAGCCACCGTGTGAGCTGTGTGTGTCGCGCTGCGCGAGCGGGGCGTGTGGCGGTCCCCACCCGAGCTTGTGCGTGGCCCTGCGGGGCCGTGCGCCCAGGCGGCTCCCCGGAGCTCTGTGGGGCTGCGCGGACTTTGGTCGTGTAAGGGCGGTGTCCCCGAGTCCCCGCGCGTACGGCAGTCCGGGCGGCCAGGCCTGCCCGCGGTGTGCGTGTGAGCGACTGTCGTCAGCCGGGCGCCCCCGCGGCCGCCCCCGGCCCAAGTATAAGGAGACAAAATACGCGCGACCAGCCTCAGAGACACCACAGAGTACGCCAAGACCAACTCAGAATGCCAGCGACGGCATCATACGCAAAAGCAGACCTCAGGCCCGCCGCACACAAAACCCAGCAAGATACTCGCGAACCGACCTCAGCATCATCGAGCGACGATCCCAAAGCCACATCACCGAGCCATACAAAGCAAAGATCCAGACGAACAGCTCGACGCCATACAGCGACCCCCTTCTAAGCCGCTCGGGCCGCCTCACACGCCTCGGGTCTCGCGCGCCCCCTCAAAGCTCGCGCCCACGCACCGCCGCGGGATCCCGGCGCCCCAGCAAGCTCGCGACCCCCTCGCGTCTCGCGCCCCTTCAAGACCGCCGGGCCGCTCACACGCCCCTCGGGGCCTCGACGCGCCCCCTCAAAGTCGCCGAGCCCCGCACGCCGACCGGGGTCTCCGGCGGCCCCCAGCAAGTCTCGCGACCCCTCGGGTCTCGCGCGCCCCCGGCAAGTCTCGCGACCCCTCGAGCGCGCTCGGGTCCCGCGCGCCGCGCCGCCCGCGCCGGAACCCACGGGAGAGCGGCTTGCGCGGACGCCGCCCCCGGCCCCGGCCCGGCCCCGCGACTCACTTCTCGCGGGCCTGGCTGTCGGAGGGCACGGCCGAGCCCTTGCCCCCCTTGGCGTACATGCTGCTCCGCGCCGCCGCCGCCGCCGCCGCCGGGCCCACACCTGTCAGGCGGCGCCGCGGGCCGCCCTCGCCGTCGCCATAGCTACCCCCCGCGCCGGGCCTCACCGCCCCGAGCCCCGGGCGGGCAGCGCGGGCATCGTCCGCGCGGGGGAGCTCCAGACGGCCGCGGCGGCGGCGGCTCCGGCTCCGGCTCCGGCCGCGGGTTTTATTTCTTTGCTCGCTTCCCCCGGCGCGGGCTGTTCCGGGAAGCGCGCCCCCTCCCCCCGCCGCGCGCGCCCCCCCCGCCGCCTCCCGGCGCCCGCGGGCGCCGCTCTTAAAGGGGCGACGGCAGGCGCGCGGTGGGCCCCGCCGCCGGGGCCCGGCCGGGCGCGCACGCGCAGTGCCCGCGCGGGGAGGCCGGGCCAACGTGCCGGCGGGCT